CATCTGTTTTTGTTCCTGATTTATGTATCGGTATTATATTACCTTTTTTTAAAATTGAGGGATATATGCCAGATTCAAAGTATTTGTTGATTAAGTAAGTGAGTGGTTCTGTTATGTCCTCGGCTATAATTTTCAAATGCTCGCTTTTAATACCATCGAACCCAGGACTTTTCTGATTTTTTAAGGACATAACAGTCGTGTATACTTCACATTGTTCGACTTTATCCAAAATAAATGAGTTCAAAGTTCTTTTTGGAGGCTGAGTATTTTGTACATTTGCTTGTATATTACTTGCTAAATTTTCGCCTATGTCAGTAAAGAATTGTACAAATTCATCGCATATCTGTTGAGTATTTTTAATACTGTTCCCGATGTTGTATTTAACTCAGTGACACACTCTTTAAATTTTGTTTTCCCAGTAATCTCATCAATAGTTGTCCAAAGCCGCTTAGGATCATTTAAGTTATTATTCAATTTATTTAGGTAATGTTTTCGTTGGTTTGCCTTGCAAGCTCTATAAATTTATTTTTATATTGGTTGTAACAGTCGGTATTCTCTGTAGTTGTTGTTAGTTTCATTACATTATATAGTCTTTCTTTTCTATTGCCGATGTTATTAATCCTTTGGTAATCCAGGCATTTCTGCTTTTCTCTTTGTGACTAATTATTACTTTATTGGTACTAATATCTATTAGTTTTTTTATTTTCTCTATGAACAGTCCCGTTGCTTTGTCTATATTATTTATAGAGTATAATTGTTCCCAGGATTCTTGTTTGACATTTGATATTAGTTTTGAATTGTCGACAAAAAATTTGTAATTTTCCTGGTTGTTATTAACGGTAGGGATGTTAGAATGTTTTTAATTTGAAGATATCAGTGAAATAGTGGAGAAGTCGTCAGTAATATCGCTTTCTAGGATTATTGGTATACAAGTAATTTTGTTGGATAGGTCTTTCACAAAGCAGCGATCTATACATGTGCCACTGATGGACCTTGTAGGTAGGTTTATATAGGACAGAAATCCGTTACTTGATAGGATATTCAAGTATTCATTTGTGATGGGATCATTGTCCAAAATATTTATATTGACATCTCCCAAGAAAATATGTTGCTTTAAATGAACTTTATTTTGATTTTGAAAAAAAAAATCGATATTCTTCAAAAACTCGTGGGGTTCTGAACATGGCGGACGATAAATTGCAGATACCTCAATTTTGTTATGGTTAATTTGGATCATTATGTTTAAAATTTTGATTCCATCGGTGAAAGTGAATGTATCATGATTATATTGTAGCTCATTTCTTACAAAAACTATCACCCCATCGTTTTGGTTATAAGTGCCAAAGTTATACAGCGTGTCATATCCCTGCTGATTGAAGCAAGAAATATCAAAAACTTGCCACGTTTCAGTTAAAACTATTAGATCAAAATTGTACCATATTTGGTCGAGTAGTATTTTTAAGTAGTCAATGTTGTGTTTTATACTCCTTATGTTCATATTAAAAATTCGAAATTTTGCATCAGAATTTTGTGTACATAAATTAAGTTCATCGACGTTTTGTGCTATATTTGTTGCAATATTTGGAATTTGGAAATCATTTATGTATTTATTTACTGACATATTCCACAACAACAACTAAATTCAGATCTCCAAAGTATTGACAGATTTGCAAAGAATCACAATATTAAACTAAACCCCTCAAATCGCAAGTAATGGTTATGAATAAAAACAGTAATGAAAAAAAAAAGAACATTTTGAACAAAATTTAGTAGTTTCCCCATGGTTCAGGAGACAAAAAACCTTAAATCTGTGTTGCCACATCATTCTCAAGGAATATTTTCTAGTCCAAAAACATTTTTACATTATTCCAAACCGTAGCACAGATACATCGCACATGTCTTGTACACATGATAATCCAAAAGGGAAGGGACTTTGGTCTATACTATATGTTGGCGTATCTTGAGAAAATCAATACATTTTGCTTCCGGACAACCATATAACATCAAAAATAGTATACAGAGAGGTCCTAAATAATTAACACACGTCCAATAGCAGTCCACAAGAAATGAAATAGACATAAAACAAGTCCCAAACACTCAGTACTAAGAACCACACTAGATAATTTCATCAGAAGTAAAAAGGAACAGGTCAGCTACAACTAGTAAAACAAGGCCTTCCAGCATAGATGAAAACAATCTGAACAGCCACATTAGTGTATCATCGGTCGATAGCGAGGTCGATAGTGTGATAACATTATTTATTGTTCATTATTACTTATTCTTATTATATTTTGATTAGAATAGTTGTCAAATGCGCAACTCACTCTAGCGAGGTTATCATTTTTATAAAACTTAGTTTGATATAAAGTTTTTAGAAAAATTGAACTACTACATTTTTCAGTTATTTGCAGTTTCTCAGAAATTACATGTTTTGGTAGAAATGCAGAATCTGGTTAGTTACAGGGCATTACTGAAATTACCTGCAAGCTAGCTAATATGTGAATGAGAATCTTGAATGAATCTCTAATTACTGAGAGCATGCACAATTTGCATCTTCAGAGGTCTTTGGTGAAGAATACTTCTCGAACACATTTTCCAAATTGACCAAAATCTAACGTTAGCAGTGCGCACCTGAAGCTGCGTGCATCTCTCTTAAGCGACAATCATTTCGCGTTAATTTACATCCTATGAGCTTTCTGTTTACGGCGCACACAGAAGCCACGCAATATCGAATAAGGATCTGGGCTGGCCTAAAATGCTCGTGCTTCTCGAAAAAATTCCAAAACGTAGAAAAAGTCTAAACCAGATCCAAAACAAGTTGTTTTTTTGCTTTATCTTGAACTTGGCTTGTTTGCTACACTTTTATTGTCGTACTGGTATGTTAATTATGTTTACGAAAGGAAAAGTAAATACCCTTAATTTATACTTATCTGGAAAACGTCAACCCACATTCTATAAGCATACGAGTTCAAAACAGATGTACTTTCTTTGGTTCGTAGATTAGTGTCACATTAACGGTGATTTATCTACATGTTCTTGAAGCATGATTTAATTTTTCTTATCACGCGTCAGAGAAAAATATACTAAGTGACATATAAATCCGAACACCCAGTTTAAATGGTTTTATTTTAATAAAATTTTGTATAAGTACTTAATGAAGCATAATAAGTAAACGATAAAAATTTCAAAATGATTGCACTGCTTTAAAGCCCTTTGACCTTTAATAATGTGTGGATGCACCCTGATGTGCTACGCATTCTCCAACGCGCCTAGGCATGCTTCTGATCAGGTGGTCAATGTTCTCCTGTGGTACCTCATTCCAGGCAACCACCAACTCCTCTCGAAGTGCTCCTTCCCATCATATCCCACACGTGCTCAATTGGGGATAAGTCGGGAGATCTTGGTGGCCATGGTAACAATGTGACATCATTATGTTGAAAGAAGTCTATTGTGACTCTTGCAACATGTGGTCGGGCATTATCTTGTTGGAAAGTTGGATCTGCCAGGGTGTCAAGATAGGGTAAAAGATGGGGTTCTAGAACCCCGTGGATATAACGCTGCGCGTTCATGTTACCTCTGATGAAGATTAAAGATGACCTGGAACCATAAGCTATAGCACCCCAAACCATAACTTCAACAGTGTGATGAACATGTCTTTCAACAAAAAACTGTGAATTCCTCCTTTCACCACGTCGCCTTCTAACCCTTACACCGACGTAATCGCCTTGAGTGGTGCAGACAACGGTCACTCTTAGATCAGGAATGGAACAGTATTGTCTTTAGTGACGAGTCTCGATTTTGTTTAGGCATGCACGATGGTCGTGCCAGGGTTAGAAGGCGACGTGGTGAAAGGAGGAATCTACAGTTCTTGTTGAAAGACATGTTCATCACACTGTTGGAGTTATGGTTTGAGGTGCTATAGCTTATGGTTCCAGGTCACCTTTAATCTTCATCAGAGGTAACATGAACGCGCAGCGTTATATCCACGAAGTCCTAGAACCCCATCTTTTACCCTATCTTGACACCCTGGCAGATCCAACTTTCCAACAAGATAATGCCCGACCACATGTTGCAAGAGTCACAATAGACTTCTTTCAACATAATGATGTCACATTGTTACCATGGCCACCAAGATCTCCCGACTTATCCCCAATTGAGCACGTGTGGGATATGATGGGTAGGAGATTGCTCAATTTGCAACGTCCTCCTCAGACTCTAGAAGCACTTCGAGAGGAGTTGGTGGTTGCCTGGAATGAGATACCACAGGAGGACATTGACCACCTGATCAGCTGATCAGAAACATGCCTAGGCGCGTTGGAGAATGCGTAGCACATCAGGGTGCATCCACACATTATTAAAGGTCAAAGGGCTTTAAAGCAGTGCAATCATTTTGAAATTTTTATCATTTACTTATTATGCTTCATTAAGTACTTATACAAAATTTTATTAAAATAAAACCATTTAAACTGGGTGATCGGATTTATATGTCACTTAGTATATTTGGTGACAATTCTAGAAATGGAAATTTACGATACTCACGCACATGACTAATGATAGCAAAATAGTTATGACACCGACTTATTAACTCATCATCTTTGTTTGCTGCAAAATTTTGCGTTTGGTCTCTCAAGGAACTTGATTGATGTCAAAGGTACTACTACTCGTCGTTGCCTCTCAAGGCGGTTCGGAGGACTTTAGCCTTTAGGTCATAACCACTCACCACTGCAACGTCAATGCCTGTCGTTAGTTCTGTCAGGTCTGGTGGCGCAGAAGCCAAGACAAGTTGTAGGGGCAATAGGAGAAGAAGAAAGGAAGGCAGGAAGCGCGAGCGAGAAAAGAAAAAAGTAACTGTGTTATGTAAATATATGAGGTAGGATGTATTGTACTATGTCTTTTAAGTTTTGCATATGGAAACAAAACAACACTGTAGGTAGTTTTAAATGACTTTATTGTCTTTCGAAGATTAATACACATCTGCATGCGCTCGAACCAATTTTCGAAGCACTAATTCCACTCGTTTTCTGGCAGCTCCAAAACGGCATTTTTGAATGCGTCAACTGCTTCTTCTGGTGACTGGAACCTTTGACCACGCAGTCTGTTTTTAATTTTCGGTAAAGTAAAGAAATCCTTAGGACTTAGATCGGAACTATATGGAGGATGTTCCAATAATTCGACGTTTTCTTCCGTTAAATACTGCCTTGTTTTTTGAGCTGTGTGCGAGCTTGCATTGCCTTGGTGGAGGATGATTCTACTTTCGGGGTTGATTTTTCGAAGCTCGGTGATGATTTTTTGCAAACAAATGGTGGTATACCAATCCGCAGTAGCAGTTCTCTGTTCATTAAGAGGAATTGTTGCAGTATGACCCGCTTTTGACACAAATGTCGCGACCACCTTTTTCGAAACTCTTCGAGAACGGATGACTTTTGTTCGCTTTTCTTCACCTTGGAACACCCAAACAGCCGACTGTCGTTTATTTTCTGGTTCATAACAGTAAATCCACGACTCATCACCACTAACAAAGCTGTACACATTTTTCGGGTTTCCGGAATTGGATCGGTCAAGCGTTTTTTGACACCAATTAACCCTGGCTGCTTTCTGCTCTTCTGTCAACAGGTGGGGCATCCAATGAGAAACTAATTTTCTTACTTATAATTCTTCATGTAAAATTTTTTGAATTGAGGTCTTTGAGATCTTCAAGGACGCCTCAATCTCGCGATATGTCACATGTCTATCTTCAATTATGAGTTTGCGCACAGCGTCGACGTTTTCCTGGGTGACTGTCGTTTCTGGTGCACCCACCCTGGGATCGTCGCTTAGAGTCACCCGTCCACGTTTGAGTTCTCCATACCAACGGGAAATTGTCGACTGATGTGGCGCTTCGTTGCCGAAACCAGACAGTAACTCAGCAAGGCATTCTTGTTGCGATAATTGTCCCTGAAAGTTGTAATAAATTATGGCGCGAAAATGTTCTCGGTTGGGTTCCATTTTTCTAATGACTTGGTGATGCTTAAAAAATTACTGTAGTGAGAACACTTCACGTATCGTTGTGAAACTTTGATTTAAGTTTACTAAAGAGTGAGGTTAAGAGACTTAAGAGACATCCCTCGTATAAATTTTCACTTCTCCTATGTTCTTAGTTTTTAGAACTATATTTTTGAAGATCCAAATATGGTTGCATATCTCCTCAACTGTGTAATCCAACAAAGGGTTGCTGTGCGATCCCGCTTGCTGGCGTCTCAGAGAATCACTTTTATGTTTGACATTCACGAAATGGGACTATCAAATGTTCACTCGATGGGTTCAAAATCGCTTGCCCTAACGTGAGTATTTCCTCCAAAGAAATCGTGTTTCGCTACATTTGGCGATCGGATAATCAACACTTCTAATGAAAAGCGTTACCGTGTTATTCTGAACAACTTTCTGTTTCCAATAGTTGAAGAGATTGGCATGGATGACATTTGGTTTCAACAGAATGGTGCAACTTGCCACACAGCCAACGTACAAACGAACTTTTTCAACAGAATGATAAGTCGACGATCTGATGTCAATTGACTGCCTCAGAGATACGATTTGAGCCAGTTGGAGTACTTTTCATAGAACGCCGTTAATGATATATGTTATGCAAGCTAACCGGAGACAACTCAGGCATTGAAATAAAAAATCGTATCAAGAAAATTTAATGTAAGACCAAGCAAACAGTACTTGAAAGTTTTAGTAATTGGATGTGGCTGGCGACGCGTGATAGTGATTTGTATTTCATTTTAAAATATCAACGTTCAACCTTTCCAATACAGTCAGAAAATTGTAAATATATACCTTGCTTTATTTACTATATGTAGATAGAATAATTTTAAAACTAGACAGTCTATAATGAATAATGAGAATTTAAACGACAGCAGAGAGCAGTCAGGTGCCAAAAATGGCCGGTAAGCTATATATCCTATAACGTACCATATTCCTAATTAGCGGACATGTGACCATATTGGTATAATCATACATTTTCCTTTCTAGCTCACCTTGGTAAATATATTCACAAGTTCACTGTGATCAGATGAAGAGCTATTCTCTGCCAAAATGAAATGGATGGCCGTGAAAGTTACAAAATATTTATTTTGCAGTAATATAAAACATCATATACGATATCACTACTTGTCCATTATGAACGATTTCAACATTACATCAAAAATGTTTGCTGCAAGCAATATACAAAGAAGTAATGATGTCTTTTTCCACAAATCCTCATGAAAGTATAAGAGTCCTTCTTGTTCATAACTCACCGATAGATGATAATTTTATCTAAAGAGTTCTTCATCAAAGACTCATATGGGAATCTTTAACGCGAATCGGGCTGTAATCCGACGTAAGAGTTTTTCTCGCTCCGAATACCATTTTTTGGGTTTATGGGCTTTTTTTGAATGTGAAGCACAAGTGACCATCAGTCGCACTTCTGTGCGGAGAATATTACATAGCGACCTGGGATTATTTCCTTACAAGGTGCAACTTGTGTAAGAGTTTAAACAAAATGACCATCCGCTTCGATGTCGTTTCTCCGGGAGGACTCTAAATTAATTGGGAACGGACGTCAATTTTGGTCGCCAAATCATATTTGCCGACGAAGCCCATTTCCATCTGGGAGGTTACGTTAACAAGCAGAACTGTAAGATTTGGGGTTCGGAAAAACCACATGTCGTCATAGAAAAACTAATGCATCCATAAAGAGTAACTGTTTGGCGTGCCTTTTGGAGTGGTGGGATTATTGGTCCCTACTTTTTTCCAGATGGAGATGGTAACAGCGTGACGGTAAACGGGAAACGCTATAGAGACATGTTGAGGAGTTTTTTTGTGGCCACTATTAGACAACATGCACTTGCACAATCTCTGGTTTCAGCAAGATGCCACACCAGCCTTGAAACAATCGATCTTTTAAGGTGCGTATACATATGCGAGCCGAGCGGTTCGCGAGCCGCTTGTGAGCCGCTCGATGGTGGTTCGTTGAAATGATTTTTTCCGCGAACCTCCAGCAATCCACAGATTCAGCGCACCAAACGCAAACAAACATCGCAGTCGACAAATGCAGTATGGCTTCGCGAAACGAAAATTATACTATTTTAGTGATGAGTGCTGCAGTTTTAGTAATGGCTGATGTAAATAAAAAAAAGAGAAGACAACGACGTTGGTGGCGTTATCAGCCGTTTTGGAGACGATCATTGGCCAGCCCGCAGCAGTGATTTGATGCCCATGGATTACTTCCTATGGGCTACTGTTCAGGACCGCTGTTACATTAATGATCCTCAAACAATTGATGTGTGCTTCAAAATTGGGTTAAGAGGATGGACTACTGCCAGGTAAGCGATTTAAGTGGAATTGTTTTTCATGAATAATCAGAAGGTGTATTCTGTTGAATAAAGTATCGAGTGTTATATATTACAGTTGACCTCCGACAACCATTATGCAGGGCAGTGTCGGACTATCGAATTTGTCGGATTATAGAGCACTGTCTAAGACCCCCTATAGTCCGGAATTTTTTACAAAAGGGTAGCTTGTAATCCGACAAATTACATATCCAATGGTAAGATTATATATGTTATGTATATGTATGTACTTTGAAGTACAAATCATACATAGTTTATGTATGTCGAATTTAGTAAATTAAATAACAATAGAGAGCTTACGTTTTATTATAAATTAACCATAAATGCACATACATATGTACCAAAATAATCCAGAATTATTAATCAAAACCATTGATGAGTTTATCAAATTATGACGTTTGGAAATATTCATCATTTTTTTTAAGGTTTTTATAACGCGAGATCAGAGCTTTGTCCCTCAGTCTTCTCAAAAGTAAAAGTTTGTTGTAGGATGTACCATTCTCTTCAGCCCATTGTAAACCTAGCTCAAAGGCGTTAATTGCGTCTTGTGCTGTGACTTGTGGAGCAGTTGCAATCACGTCGTCGTTATTTTCCTGATTGTTTGTTGTATAATTAGAAACTTCTTTTACAATCTCTTCGTCAGACATTTCATGAAAAACAGTTTCCTCTTTATCCATTCCACGGCGCCAGATTTCCAAATCTTCTGTGTTTCAGTAGTGACTTGTTCTCTAACTTCCGAAGTAACACTGATTTGTTGGACGTTGGTAGGAGTGGTGACTATATCTGGCCATAACTTTTTCCAAGACGATTTATTAGTTGATGACGGTAACGCATTCCGCGACTGACAAAGAGCAAAAGCTAGGTCTCTCATATTAAATTCATTTAAAGTTTTTCTATTGGTTGGTCTTTTGATACGGCTCTCCGAAGTAGGTTTTTCTTATAGTCCTGCTTGACCAACTGAATAATATTCTGGTCCATTGGTTGAATCAGTGCAGTGCAATTTGGCGGAAGAAACATCGCAGTGATGCATTTATCCTCAGTTGTTAGTTCTTCTTCAGACGGATTACCGGGAGCGTTATCAAGGTGCAACAACGCTTTTTGAGGAAAATTATGATCTTTTAACCATTTTCTAACTTCAGGTACCAAGCATTCATCAAACCACTTTTTGAAAAGGTTTTTTGTCATCCATGCACTTTTTTGTCCTTAATAGTGTACAGGTAAATCAATGTTTTTGAATGCCTGTGGTTTATTAGATTTCCCAATGACCATCATCTTAAGCGCGTGTGTGCCCGCAGCGTTAGCACATGGTAGTATGGTTTCACGCTCTTTACTTACTTTTCGTCCAGGTACGGATTTTTCGTTACAAGTCACGAAAGTTTTGTTAGGCCTCACACGCCAAAAAAAGCCCTGGTTCGTCTGCATTGTACACCTGTGACGGGTCAAGATTTAAATCGTTCACCTTTTGCAAAAATCTTAATTCAAGGGGCTCTATGCAGGTGGCATCGTTAGAAAGTTTCTCTCCTGTAATAGTCATTAAACGTATGCCATGACGACTTTTAAGTTCTAGTCATCCTTTGCTGGCCACAAAACCTTCTTTTTTTGTTATCTCCTTATAAAAAAACTTAGCATTCATGGCCAACCTGGGTCCTAAAATTGGTGCATGCCTATTTCTTTCCTGAAAAAAACCACATGTACAAAGCTTCTTCCACTTCTGGATGTTCAGCTTTCTTGAGTGTCTGTCTGTTGCCTGGCCCGCAGTCAGTAGTTGACATGATTTTCTTGATCTTCTCGTGGTTTCTTTTGATATCATAAATTGTAGATCGGCCTACGCCGTTTTCACTTGCTAAACTACTGAAAGTTTCATTGCGATTTAAGCGGTTTAAAATATCACATTTTTCTTTAATTGTCAATGTTTTGTACTTTCGCTTCTGAGTTTGTGATGACATTACTAGGTACTATACTTAATACACAATGAATAAATAGTAAACAATGAACTGTATTGAAGAAAGTAGTATTAATACCAATTTAAAAAAGAAACCAACGGATGGCCCACCCTTTATATGAAACAC